GAGAGAGAGAGAGAGGACAGAGGCCGGACACAAGAGTTTACTGTTGTTGGACATGCTTAGGATAGAGAGAAAGAGAGGGAGAGACAGATAGATAGAGACAGAAAGAGAGGAAAAAAGGGGGTGGTCAGTTACAGCTCATGTTTGTGGAGGAAAAACAAAAAAAGCTGCGGCAGCCAAGCATGTCTACAAGCTGGTATACATGTCAAAAACAGCACAACGAGAGAAAACTCACAAACGAGACCAGAGACTTTGAACCCATGCAGAGCGCGGCACTACCTTTGTGTTCAATGGTAGTAAACCTTTGAGTATAGCCCATGACACATTTCACAGAATCTAAAGAAGAATATGTGGGGGGTCAGTGGGAGTCATTCTTTTAGGGTCAGGTTTATATGGCAGGTGGACACATTTCTGCCAACACACAGATTCACACAGAAGAAAAGACATCAAGGAAAGTCGCTGCTTTCAAAAGCACCTGAGGGAGAAAAGTTCAGAGTTAAATCAGGAAGCACTCATCTGCTCATAAACGTCGGGTCGGTGAGGAATGCAGCACCTGAGACAGAGACCAACGTATGACATCATTTTTCAGGGAAACACAACTTTGCATTTGCTGTTAGTGTGTCTGGAGAAAGTCCCACATGTTTACATTCAAGAGCACAGTCATTTATTCCATTAAGCTCAAGTTTGTCGTGACATCTGTTAGACATTTAAAATCCGCTGCTGGTCAGGACACTCCGCCTGGGAAGATCTGAAAGAGAGAAAGAGTCATTGCCGACACGCACTCGCATTCCTGCGGAGGGCACGATAGCGAGTGGGGGGGGCCTTTGGAATTACCGCTGTGAAATGATCTGCATCTCCTCTGCACTCAGCGGTCTTCCACACTCGACTGGCAAAGTGTTAGAGCTGCCGGACCCTGAAAACGTTGGCACAACCAGGCTTCTAAACACGTCGACAAACTGCAGATGATAAATCCGCTATTCAGGAGGGCAGGAATACGTCACTTCCTTGTTGCCAGAACGACCACGCCCCCTTTTGAGTGAATACAAACAGTGTGAAAGCGGCAGCTAACAATTGAAAATACTACTGGCGCTATTCTTAAAAGCTGTTGCGTTGCATTATGTAAATTTACATATGTCGCCAGTCAAATCAGAGGATATGTTTCCACCCACAAATGGGTGTGTCCCCCCCCACCATTTCTTTTCACACACCAAACTCCCGGAGAAGAGCTACGGCTGGAGGAGAAGTCGTCATTATTTCACTGACAGACATCCACTGACGTCACGGTTTACTGCATCTCTTATTGTTTTTAGTGCCGTGATCATGGGCATATACTCAAAACATTTACCCAGCTGGTCTAGAGAACTGCGACACAGACCCATGGGTGCTACAGGGGGCACAGAGCAGACGGAGGCAGCTGCAGACAAACCTGGTGACTGTCAATTTAGAATTTGTTTGTCAAATATGAAATGCAAATCATCCCCTGCTCCCTCCCCTGAGATAACAGTTAAACCTTTCAAAGCAGAAGCAGAACAGAAAACATGATGACACAGAAAAAAGACCTTGACGCCAGAAGCAACCTGGTTACAGGGTACATATATATACAGCAGTGTTATCGAAGCAATATGGAAGATGTTGTATATTTGGTGTCTTTTTTTGGGAGGAAAACGGGGAGAACATTTGGAGGAGCATGAGAGAGTAAAAGTGTCAACGTTAGGTGAGAAGAAGAGTGGAGGAGATGTTAGAAGAACAGAAAAATAAAATAAAATAAAAAAGTCTCATGCACTAGAGGAGAACACGCACTCACACCCCACAGTGGCAGAAGCGGAGTTGGCGGCAGTGGCAGTAGTGGTAGTAGAAAAGGCTACATGTGTAGGGCTAGAAACATTGGTTACATCGTGCTGTTGTTGGCTGGAGTTGGAGGCCTGCCGCCTTAGAGCCCCCTGAAAGGAAGTTCCACTCTGGAAAGCACTCACTACATCCATCTGCAAAGAATCAGACAGCGTGACAGGAGAAAAAGCCCAGAGGAAATCAAACACAACACAGCCAGAGGAGAAAAAATAAAGAGAAGGCACCAGTAACCATAGAAAAAATGTCACTTGGAAATTGGATTCAGGAATTAAAGTTAAAGAGAGAGGGAAAGGGGGAATGTTTGAGTTTAAAGGCACTGATCGGAGGGAGCTTTCAAGCTTTTCTCTGCAGGATCCTGTCATACTTACAGCTATAGTCATGCCAATAGTTGGTGAACAATCAGCTGTTCTATCCTGCTTTTCGAACAATCCCAAATTAATTTGCTTTGCATCAGTACCTTCAAACTAGTTGCGTTTTTTTTTTTTAGCCATAGATTCAGACCGAGTCAGAAATAGGCACAGGACCCTGCTTTAGCTCAGCAGCAGAACAGAAAAAAATTAGAGGAGGGCCTTTTTTTTTTAGGGCACAAGCCATTCTTTAAGAGTGCCGAGAGGAAGAGAACAAAACATAGATTTTAAGCTGGAAGAGCAATAGAGTTAAAGGGTTTATGGCTTTTGATTCCCTTGGTGTTGGGTGCAGTGTTTGGTTGGTACACAGGAAGCTCTGCGGATGGTTACCTGAGTCTGGATGCGATTGAGGCCTCGGAACCAGAGGATCTGGCCTCGGCGAAGCTCCCGCTCAGCGTGGTCGATCTCTTCCATGTCATCCAGCTCATCCAGCTCCTCGTCCGGGATCTCCTCCTTCTGGGTGCCGTGGCCAGCCGTTTTCAAGAATTTTAAGCGGCTGGTGGGTATTGTGGAGATCACCTGGAAGACATGGCAGTGTACATGAGAAGCATGGTCGGCTGATGATGTCACACTCCTCGGTGAGGGGGAAAGGGACATTTCATTATGGCAGGATGATCCACACTTCTGGGTACAACGCAGACATTAAGCAGCCAGTGACCCGGAAAATGAGCAGCCGTGCCAAAGGGCCGTTGAGAGACAGACGGTTTGACGTCATCAGGTTTGTTCCGAGACTCTAGTGAAGTTACACACTTGGATGTCAACGTTCTCGGAAGCAGAATAACGAAAAGCAGATAATGATGGTGTTGTGACGAAGTATTAAATCATTTTAACGGCTGCCGACATGTCAGCCAACGATAAAGTGATAAACACAGACACAAGACCTTTTCAGAATCAGTCATAATCAGTTTTAGATTTCTTACGTTGGTGTCTATAAAAAGCTCCCTCCCTCCTCCTAACTTGTTTTACATCATGATAATACATCATATTACTGCTGAGATCTTTTGATCAATTCGTTGAGTAAAAACTCACTAATCTTCTCAGTCATTTTTCAAACTAAATGTCCAAACTTTTTATGATTTCATTATCTTAAATTTAAAGATTTGTTGCTTTTCTGCTTCACATCTGATTTTCCACCAAATATACTTGGGTTTTGCAGAATTGATCAGATGCAGCAGGCTCTATGATGCTGCCTCATTGGCCTCAACGCACAGTTGTTTTTGGCTTAAAAGTATTTACTTTGATACAGTATAAATATAGGAAAGTATACAAAGTTCGTTAAAAAGCATGGATTGTACTGTTGATAAGAAAAAGACGGCAAAAGATTTCTGTGTCTGACGTCTGTGAGCAGCACACTCAGGCTGATGTTTAAAATTCTAAGCTATGTCCTACGCACTATTATTAAAGCATATGATTTTATAAGTTATATGTTTATATAAATCAGTTTTAGATACAAAGCTGACGTCTCCCTTCTGTCACAGCCTTCTTACTAAGCCTGTTCCAACACTAGGGGGCAGTATTATCTCACACTTTATTAACTGGCCAACTTAAGGTGGAACTGAGATGTACTGTGTCATCGTACCTGTCCCCATAGTAAAGAGCCGAAGCCTAAGAATGTGCACCACAGCCACTGGTCGACGGACAGAGCCACGCAGCTGAATGGCTTCCCTCCGAACTGCACAATGACAATCTTGAGAAGGAAGAGAGGTGGAATTCATTTAATATTTACTGGTCAACATCTTGTGACAAGAATAATCTCTTTTCATATATGAGTCAGAAGTACACAAATTCTAAGAAGTTTACAGTCGCACTTTACCTGGATAATAAAGGTACCGAAGACGATACTACAGAAGATGAGGTTGTTGAAGATGCCATCGAAGACATTCCTTTCACCGTGGATCTTGCGGGCGTTGATCTCGTTGAAAAGCTGCATCATTACAAAGGTGTTGAAGACGATGGTGTAGTGTTCAGAGGGCGGGGCGTGGAGGGGAGCGTTCCTGCCGCTGTCTATGTCAAAGATTTTCTCACCTGCGGAAACAATCAGGATTTGGATCCATTTAACCATGAAACACACAGAGAAACTCCACTGGCTCCAAGTGAATAAAGAACTAAGCCTTTTACAGCATCTTACCAGCGAAGAGCAGAGAGAAAATGATGATGAGCTGGAACACGCCCTGACCGAGGATGTTCTTCATCATGGTGCGGGAGATGAGAGGCTTGTTGCGGCCATATGGCTTCCTTAGCAGCAGGGCCTCTGTGGGGGGCTCTGTGGCCAGAGCTAGTGAGGCAAAGGTGTCCATGATCAGGTTAACCCAAAGCATCTGTACGGCTTTGAGAGGAGAGTCCTGGTGGAGGAGAGGGACAACAAATTAGGTTACATTTTTATAACATCTCAAATATCATGAAAATGTGGAGTATCTATAAGAGACTTTCAAGTTGTCATGAACCAAACTGTGCCTGGAAAATGTTTTGATATGGAAGAGATTTGGTTTCTGTGCACATTCAAATAATGTCAGAAAATGAGGATTTGAGGTTACGTGACTGGATTCCTTTGGAAATAAGGAAAATGAAGGCTGAGAAAAATCTTTAATATTTAATGTCTTCAAAATCTGCAGCATTTTTATAAGAGACACTGAAGTCACTCCATTAAGCTTCAGAACACATCTACTGTCGACTAAAAAAGACAGATATTAAAAAATCATTAAGGAATTTCACAGGTGCTTATGATTGCTAACGCATGAGGAAATTAAAAGGAATATGCCTCATTAGAAACAAAATATAGAGACAGTTCGAAGGTGCACGGTGTGCATTTCTATATTCAAGAAAATGATATCAGACCCTGTGTAGCTTCTGGGAAGTCTAACCTGTGTGATGCAGGCTCCGGTAAACGCTACAATGACAGCCACCACATTGACAGTCAGCTGAAACTGGAGGAACTTGGAGATGCTATCGTAGACGTTGCGTCCCCACATGACGGCTTTTACGATGCTGGAGAAGTTGTCGTCGGTCAGAATGATGTCAGATGCCTCCTTGGCTACATCTGTGCCGGCAATACCCTGGAGACAAAAAGATGATGATCAGAGACAAATCTGTGTCTAGTCACAACATATTTAACATCGTTATGCTTGATAGTGAGCCTTATTTTTTCAGAATTAACTGTAAGATAGAAGACTCACCATGGCAAAGCCAACATCAGCTTTCTTCAAGGCAGGACCATCATTTGTACCATCTCCTGTCACTGCCACCACTTGTCTCTGTTCTATTACTGTGCTGTCTATAATACCTAGAATAATAAAACAAGACCATTTTAAATTAAACCTGAAAAGCCCCCAAAAACAGACAATGACCATTTTTTTTCAAAAACAAGAAAAACAGAAGTACCTTTCACTAAGGTGTGTTTATCTGTGGGTGATGAGCGAGCCAGTACTCGCAGCTTGGGCCAGATCTTGTCAATGCGTTCTTGTTCAATCTAGAAACAGGAGAAAAAAACCTAATAGAATCCCTACAGCACATCTGCAACAGTCTCTGAGGTACAGTGTTTTGCTGTGGCCCACCTCTCCTTTCTCGTTGCGTATCCTTCGGTTGAACTCTTTGCCCTCCAGGCAGAGGAAGTCGTCTCCGGGCAGTAGGATGCCACACTTGGTGGCGATGGCTCGAGCTGTGTTGATGTTGTCCCCAGTTACCATTCGCACCGTGATGCCAGCACGTTGGCATTTCCTGATTGCGTCTGGGACCTGGAGGAGAGCGGAAACGCAATTACGGAGGAAATGCATGTTGTTTTTGCCTTCTTCACTGGGGATTTCAAAATTAAAGCTCGGCTACGCTTTACTTTTGTATTTAAACACTGAAATAAAAAATTCTAAACAGCTTTTAGGATTTGGTCGGGTTTAGATTTATAGAAATTGGGACGTGGAGTCGCACAGCTACAATCTGTCCCTTTTAAACAACATGTGGTTTGTTCTCTGCAAAGAAGCTGTGTGTTGTACCTGAACAAAGTAAATATGCAATGGTAGAAGAAAGCTGAGCATCTAACAAACTAATGACCCAGTTCTGTTTCATATACTTGTCTCACTGAGGAGGCAGCCCCTCAAAAGCCTGAATACCTTAATTGCTGTATTATTTCAGATTTTCTTGCAGAAATGAAGTCGCATCTTGTGTTTGAAAAAGGGCTGATGCAGCATCTCCTGTCATTTAAATTCCCTGCTTTGCTCAGGAGCTGCTAACCCCTTTAGCTGCCAGTGTTCTTCTTCAAAAGTGCTTATTGGACCGATAAAGAGTTTGGAATCCCCCTAGCTCCACTCCTGATTGAAGGGGGGGGCTGCATTAAAACATTCATGTTGGAAAACCTCAATTCTGTTAAGAGACACGCGTCTTAAGTTTGTTTATGAAGTCAAAATCTATTAAGACAATTATAATGTTTTCCTCCTCTGTGCGTAGCTGCTAACCTCAGGTCTCACGGGGTCTTCGATGCCCACCACGCAGATGCAGGTCAGTCCGGTGAGGATGTCATTTTCATTGTCCCAGTCAGGCTCACCCTCAGAAGCAGGGAAATCTCTATATGCAAGGCAGATGGTCCTCAGGCCCTCTGAGGCCATGGGCTCGATCACTTTTTTTACCATGTCATCTCTGTCCCGTGGGCGAAACACCTTTGACTCACCGTTTGCCGTCTGGATTTTATAGCACCTGGGCAGGGAAAAGAGGGTATATTAATTTATAACCGTATATTTAGAAGAGGGTAAAGAGACAAAGGGAGAAGGGGGAGCGAGGCATTAGGAGAGATGGAGTCTGGATGAGGAAGATAGATGCTGGCTTGTTAAAAGATAATGTAGATGAGACAAAGGAGTAAAGGAAGAGGAGAAGACAAAGCGTGTGAATGATGAGCTGCAGTGGTAAGAAGTCACACTAAGCCCTGTGGGTTAAAAAGAAGCCTGCTTGGTTAAGAGGCTTACAGAGTTGTTACCGGCTCATTTTCTCAGCCCCTGTTTTTAAGTTGCAAAGTAAGGGGCTTGGGTGGGATGCACTTGAATTTCTTAGCTGCTTAAAGCACAACACATATCATTTACTGCAGAGTCTGGCCAGCTGGAGCAAGTAAATACCTACAGAATAACAACGCCCACCATGCAATCCAGTGTGCAAAAGAAATAAACGCAAAGGATTAAAACCAAAGATGAGCAGTGTTTTCTTACTTTTTTAAGAGAATCTCTGAGGCTCCTTTGCTGAACATACGGTAGCTGCCATCAGCCAACTTCAACACGGTGCTCATAGACTTGCGGACCGAGTTGAAGGTGTAGACTTTGTACAGTTTCTCCTCGGGGATCTCATTGCGGATAGCCTGGTAGTCTCGCTTCAGGTCATTAGAAAAGCCAAGCAAGGCACACTCGGTCTTGTTACCCACCTGCCGTGGCAAGCCCCCTTCTTTCTCTGGAGGCTGGACATGAATTGAGAATTCGGTCAGTGTTTTCCTCAAGCCAAATATATGACAAGTCAATATTAAGGGTAAAGCTAAGTTAATGCATTTCACAAGCCTACCATGATCTTGGTGGTGTAGGCGCAGTTGACTGCAATACCCAGAATCAGGATATCTAAAATAGAAGGGGTGATGTTTTCTGGTTCCGGGACTTTCTTGTAGAACTTCTCAGCGATGTAGGCCTGCACCACAGTCATGCGGTTCATTGTGAGCGTACCAGTCTTGTCAGAGCAGATGGCGGTAGCATTGCCCATAGTCTCACAGGCGTCCAAGTGACGCACAAGGTTGTTGTCTTTCATCATTTTCTGTAGGAAGATAAAACAAATCAGCAAATGATTAAAGACTGTAAATGAAGCTTCACAAGCAGAAAGGCACTCAGATATCTTCACTTGTCGTAAAAAGAAATGTGTGAAAATGAGTAAAATGAATAGCTCCTTGATGGGATAAAGTCCTCTATTGGCAAACAAGTTCAGCAGATGGGATCATTCGCTTTGCTCTGGGGTATCAGTTAGCCAAGTCTTAACAGCATGGTGGCTAGTTTTAATAGGCTAAAGTGCAAGCTGCTCAGCGCTAAGCACAGGTCGCTTGGCAGGAAGACTTTACCTTAACGGAGTATGCCAGGGAAATTGTTACGGCGAGCGGCAGGCCTTCGGGAACGGCCACCACCAGAACAGTGACGCCGATGATGAAGAACTTCACAAAGAACTGGATGTAGATGGGAGTGCAGTCCTTGTCCCAGGGCAGATTCTGGATCCAGAAGGTGTCGACTACAAATAGCACCACCAGGATGATAACAGTGATGGCTGACATAACCAGACCTGGGAGGAAGGAGGGAAGAAGATAGTCAGGGAATCATGTAGATATCATCATCAACATACTGGTAATAATGAAAAGAAAAAGATTACAGAAAGTAAGAGATGATAAAGTCACAGTAGAACTACGGCTCACCTGCTTTGCCGATCTGTACAGCCAGTTTGGTCAGTTTGCCCTGGAGAACAGACTTCTCTTTCTTTGGCAGGTTGGATTTTTTCTTCTCCTCAGCATCACCTCCCTCGTCACTGTTCAGAGGCTGCATTTCCATCGCAGCACCATCCTGTGCTTTAGCTGCAGCAAAAAGAACAAGAAAAAGCTGTTAAATGAAATGCTCTTAAAATGACACTAATGTACTGGCTGTAACATTTTACTGGTGTCAAATTGAATGTCTAGATTTTCCTTTTTGCTAATATTAAAGACCAGAAATAAAAAATAAATGTTTAGCCGTGCATCGTTGATTTAATAAACTCTGTGAGGTTAACAAAAAAAAAGAATTATTACAGACTTAAGTTATTTCAGCTTTTCATCTGTTTTATATATTTTCTGTTGGCTTAAGAATAAATTAATAAATTACTCAGATTTTATTTGGATGTGACAAAAATTATAGATTATGAGAATATTTCAAGTACAAGATAATGTAGCACTATATTTACAGACACATCAATAAATGAAAAGCGATAATAATTTTGAGAGATGTCACATCACTTAAAATTATAGATTTTTCTTTTTTTTCTCCGTGGACCTGTTATCAGTCATCCGACTGCACAGTAATTGGCTCAAAGATTTATAAATGTAATTACCATCCTCGCCCTAAAGAGATTTAAAGAACAGGTTAACTAGCTGGTAGCACCGGGATCTGTCTGACTAATCATCTCCTTCTTCGACAGCGCCCACAGCAGTCGTTGCCAGTTAAATTCCAATAAATCTCCTTCCTCTCTTCCTCAGCAACCATCCACACCCCCCCTCCCCGCAGGACTGACAGGAATCCCAAACCCACATCTAACCAGGTAACCTTGGAGACGCAAAGCCTCTAATGGCAAAAGGAGGGAGTAGAAGCAGCCAGCGGGGGCCAGGCTCTGTCGTGTCACTCGTCATGATAAAATGATCAGTTCTGCAGGGCACAGAGGCTGCAGGAAAAACTGACTGTATTTCCCATCCCTCAGTTAACTTTTCCTAACTGCAAACTGCAAATCATTATGTAGGACCTGTGTAATTTCTGCCTTGTTGCTTTTCAAGTCTAATTTGTGCTAAGAGCTGTGTTTATTATGGTATGGACAGCGGCATGGCACGGTGTCTGGACGTATGCGGCAGGGAGAGGAGGGGCATTAACACCGCACCACTGCAGCTGCTGTGGACTGTGGCTTGTTCTGCACTTACATGGCCTGTGTAATCTCAGTCTAAAGGATTACTGTTGATTCCTGGCAGGCTGAGGGAATCTGTGCACCAGGGACTAGCGCCAGGGTTGTGGTCACAGACCCGAGCACTACTGATCATGGTGTCCCAGGAGGACTGCAGGCCTGGCTAGCTGGTTGAGTTACCGCTAAACAGCCTTATTATCATTGTTGTCAGTCTGAAATTGCGACCGGTGCAAGTCTCGTGGTTCGACTGTGAACAGTTCAGATTGGGACATCAATAGAAATCAAACTGTGGGGGCCAGGAAGAGAGTCGGAGAGAGAGGGAGAGATGGGTGGGAAAGCAGATGTTCTGGCCCCAGAATTGTTGCATGGCTTTAATCTCCTCATCACTAATCGCTATAACTGGATTCAGTAGCACCTGCTGCTCAAAGCGCAATGTGCCAGGGAAGGACGAGAGAAGAGGAGGGAGAGACAGAAGGGAGGGTCGGACAGTACAATGGATGGAGCAGGAACATCCCGTACCAAGAATACATGCTGACACGGGGTCATGCAGAAATATGCAACTCCTCATTACTTGCATTAAAACCACTGCAGCCAATTATTAACAGATTGAGTGTGAGTGAGTGTGAGTGTGTGTGTGTGTGTGTGTGTGTGTGTGTGTGTGTGTGTGTGTGTGTGTGTGTAACTTACCTTTCTTACGATTTTCCACAGATCCATCTTGCTTTTTGTCTGCAAAAAAATACACCATGGAGTGAGTACTGCTAGTTCTATAACTGGTGGGAAATACATTTACTGTACTATCAACCACTACTGGAAATTATCATTATGTATTTATGTCATGTATATAATATATATATTATGTGATAAATCTTCGATTTAGAAAAGGCAGAATGAAAATCTTATAATTAACCAATGCTGTAATCCTTCATACACTAAAGACTAAAAGTTTAAACTATTAGTCAATCATTGATACGGTTATGATGATTGCTGAAAACGCCAGATATCTCGAATGTGAGGATTTCATCCTTTTTTTCAGTATGTTCTTAAGGATCTTTGCATTTTCAATTGTTGGACTGAACTTAAATTGTAGGGAATTGCCCCACTTGACCAGGACTTCCTCGCAGAAGAAAGACTGCATTAAAAAGCATAAACAAAAATAAAAGCTATGGCAGATTATTGGAAATTGTAAATTGTCCAACCTGTATGTAACTCTGCTTCCTACTATGCTTTCTTTTCCACAGTCTCAGTATATTTATCTTTGAAATATATAGAAGTCAAAATGGAAAGTGATGGAATCTTTCTGCCAGATGTAAAACTGGTGGTAGAAATGGAAATATCTTGTCGACCTGTCGGACTGATCGATGCTCAGTAATATGACAGTAAATAAGTAGTAAGAGACACTAACTTTTCCTCTGTTTCTTCTTCTCCTCCTTTTCCTTTTTCTTCTCCTCCTCGTCTTCGTCATCATCCTCGCCGCTCCCGAGTAAAGTGAAGATAATTCCAGTTTGAGAGTTGACACCCACAGCAGTGACCACCATTTTCCCTGAGCCTTCCATTACATGGGTGCCTTGAGACAGAGGAGGAAAATAAAATGTGAGTCAATAAGGAAAAGGGAGAGGCTATGTACAGAATCTGACTAAATCGTGCACGCAATGTTTCCTCTGTGTTTCCAGGACGACATATGCCCTTGTTTCTGTTTATACTGGAACAAATATACCTTCCTAACTTATTTGTCGCTTTGAATGTTTCAATTTGGTGACTTAATGTTGAGCTGGACACCTATGCCTTCTGACTAGGTGGTTTAGCCGAGCATTTTCAGCCACACGCGAGAGGGAAAATACATTTAGGTTTTCAAATGCAGGCAATAACTACAAAAGGAATGGTGCACTTGCAAGAAAAGAGACAATGATGCAAATACACTTCAACCCTTTAATCAGCAGCCTTTAATCAAAAGCCAATTGTTAGTCGGGCTGAATTTAAAGAAGTCTCAGATGGTTTCTCCAGAGTTTAATATCTACGCCTTGCTATTAAGCTGATGACACAGGAAAATTATGTTGATTTATACAGAAAAGAAGGAGAGAAGGAACAGAAGTCAAGAGTAATAGGAGAGTGACGACAGTGAGAGGCTGAAATTTAAAAGTTCGCTCATGCTTTTGTTAATTAGCGGATGCTCTACTTTCATTAGTGAGAGTGACGGCAGAAAGGATACAGCAGAATCAAAAGCAGTGGTGGAGCAACACACTACAGCCTCACAGCTGCACTGAAGATCATATAGGTAAAGCTATGGTTTCAATATGTACAACCTTCAGTGTCTTCTGGTCACAACTAGCGAGATGACATCTTATGAAAAATGAAATGAAATGGAGGATTCTTGTTACCTGATAAAAGCATTGGATCCTTTTCTTGTGTTTTCTTGACGTGGTCCGACTCCCCTGTGAGCGAGCTCTCATCAATCTTCAGATCGTTGCCTTGGATTAAGACGCCGTCAGCAGGCAAAAGATCGCCTGAGACACACGCAGAGAAAAAACACATTTAATTTGGAGCAAAAACAGCAAAAAAGCAAATTTGAAATGAGAGCATTTAATTTTTAATGAATCTTGCATAATCATGTTAAGCATATCTATTATCTATCACAAGTTACATTTATATTTAACTACAGAACCATATTTAAAAACACCGCTCCTCTTACCGTATTTTATTTGTGCAATGTCGCCGACCACGATCTCAGCCACGGGAATTTGGATAACTTGTCCTCCACGGGCGACTGTAAATTTCTGTTCTTGCTCAATGCGGCTCTGGAGGCCCCTGAACTGCTTCTCTTTACTCCAGTCATTGAACGCTGTCACCAGCACCACACAGATAACTGAAAGAAGGATCGCCGCTCCCTCGATCCAGCCCGCTTCCGCCTCATTCTCATCCTCCATGCCTCCAGCAGCCCTTCCACAGTCTGCAGGGGGACAGGGGCAAATCTCAACATCAAAACCATGATCCCATCATTCAGGCCCATTTAAAAGCAGAAACTGAGACAAATAAAATGAAAAAACTGAAATCCATTAGCAGCATCAATTACTACAAAGAACAGGAAATAGAAATGAAATGTAAAATGTAAAGAACTTACTATCTCTTTTGGCATCTGGAGGTTTATAAAAAGAAAGGCCTAGTGAAACTATGGCTGCCACTTCTAGGATAATCAGTGTGACATCCTGCAGCGCCTCCCACACTAACTGTAAGAAGGTTTTGGGCTTTTTGGGTGGTATAAAATTTTGCCCAAACACTGTTTTCCGCTTCTCGATGTCTGCAGGCTGTCCGCTTAGACCTAGGGAGGGAGACAGAGGAGAAAACAATTTCATTATATATTTCATTTTAATGTAATTTGTGTGGAGTTCTGCTTTTCAAGATAAAAAAGATATCGGTTTTGTAAATATGGATGATGCACAGAAACAGAACTTGCAGTTCAAAACATAAATTTGCCAGTAATGTGGAGAAAGCCTGGGAGAAGAAACATAAAGCTCTTTTTCCAGTTTAAAGAGATTTAACAGTATTTTACATATTTACATTTCAATTTGGATTTCTTTAGATTTGTCCTTCTTTTTTCTGTGTTGTAAAAGTAATAACTGGAAGAAGATGTATGTTTTAGTAAAATTAGTGGTGTCTTGTAAGGCCAAAAGGGATGAATCAAACTCTTTGGCATGACACAGAAATACAAAATATATGTACTTAAATGTAATCTATCATGGAATCTAATATTAGATTACAAATGTTCACATCAGAGAAAGAAATAACTTAATTATGTGCTGGATAATTTGAACACAGATGGATTCAGTACTGCGGACAATTTGTTCCCAAGAAGAGAGAGTAAAAAAATAAAGAGTTTGTCGGTGAGTTTAACACTGGGCCTCCAGAAACAAAACATGCTGTGGAGGCGACAGCGCTGCACAACAATGACACATTCTGTGGACATGTCAAACATTTTCACCTCTTTCAGGTACGCCACTGCCAGAGAATTTGACAACAGAGGTGGAATTTAACCCCATAAATTGCTTCTTTTTTATTTTTAAATACAATGACTGAAAGACTAGAGAGGTGGAATCAGCTGTACGCTCGCATACCATCGTCGTCCTGTTATAGAGTCATCTCTTTTACACTTCGCATGTCTGGTTGGTCAGAGACCCATTCATCCATGTGCACAGAGCGCATTCTGCAGCCACCCATTCAAATGCCTCCACATTCAAGGCACAGTCATATATTCAAAAGGGCCTTCGCACATTTGATGATGCATGACAGTTTTTCAGCTCTATTCATGCTGACTGACTGTGCGTGGGTGGCTGTGCAGACTGGATGGAGCTGTGCGAGGGTGTGCGCGCGGCTCAGAGGAGGTGGAGCAGAATTAGGGGCCAGGGAAGAGTGACTGTGTGAAACTGCTACTGACAGACAGATGGGGGTGGGAGGGTGGGGGTCCAGGGTGAGTGTGCAAGAGACTGAGGCTATTAAAGAATAAAGCCACTGACGGCGGAAGGGAAGCAGCATTGGGAATAGCGGCGTCTTAATAGGGAAGGAGATCAGGACGGTCAGCGTAGGGACAGAGACAGACACAGCCTAGAGGTTTAATAAGAATCATGACTGCACATTTGTAGAGTGGCAAAAGCACAAGGAGTACAGCTCTCCATCTCATATGTGCAGAAATGCTGCCAAACTTCAAAATAAATGCATTTTGATTAGTTCGTGCAAAGGGAAGAGATTTCACTGTGTCAAGGAAAAGTGAAAAAGATGGACGTAGAACCGCTTTGTCAAACACTGCCCGTGAACAATTAAATTATAAGTGGTGAAATTGAAGTCTTTTTAAGAACATGATGAATAAAATCTAAGACCTATATCAAGTACGACAGATATGAAGGACTATCAGAGTCCTAGAATTACTCCCAATTTCCGAAAATTGAAACAGCTCAGTAGAGAATAACGATGAAATACAACATTATCTTCACAAACTACAGGCAGAGATCGTTCTCTCATCTTTCCCACAGCCAAGATGAGAGTAGTTCTACATTGGCCTTTTTTGTAGTTTCATTACAGCTTGCTGATCTGTTTTGTTGAAAAAGAACAACAAAACCCAGAGACATTACAATATATGCATGCAGCTAAACAAAAACTAATTTAAAGCACAACTAAAGAAGATATTTTTACATAGTTAAGACTTTTTAAGGTCTAAAAGATTTTCTGTAAATACGTTTAGTCTTACGCAATAATTATCTACACACAAGTTCAGTGTCCTGATTATGATTCTTCCTTTTCACTACAATGTCGTGCAATCTCAAAGCACTCAAACAACGAGACAGTAAATATTGCCAGTATCAGCAATCATGCAAGATATCAAAAAAGACAACCACACATTCCATAACAGCAGCTGCAATTCATCTCAGAACCAATAACTAATACTATTTAAAAGATGTTTTATTCAACTCTGTTTCATCTGTTGACAAACCCCCTGAACTTCAATCTATAGGTACGTTCTGACATCACTCTTGACTAAGAGAAAACGTTGTCAGGTTTGTTTTTTTAAGATGAGTTGTTATGTGACTATAAAAGTTATCACATACCTAACGAATGTGATTCTTGACTCAAGTATTTATTTACTCATTTTATTTATGTATATGAAGGAAATCCCCTTAAGTCAATTCTCACAAATAAGTGACAACTGTAATCTGCTCATTAATTATTCCGTTATCCCATGAGCTCTAAATAAATTGAGATTCTTAATAAAGAGAGAAATGCATCTGCAGACGGCACACAAACGGCTGTGTCCCTGCTGATTCTCACTTTTAACATGCACTAAAATCACATTAATGACAATGGGGCTGCACTTTGCTCCTGAATTAATTGCTTCAATTTATTTCTAAAATTGAGAAGGGGACACTTTAGATGACAGGAGTCTGTTGTGAACTATCAGGGTGTAGATGTAACTTAATTAAAACACGACCTCTTTGCTTTATCGTTCACATTTCTACCCGTTTCTCCCTTTAAACGAGCTTTAGTCTGGGTCACTGAACAAAATAATCCTGTGTTACAAGGTTAATTGACATTACAACCTAACACTAACACATATTTTTCTAAAAGGGAGGTGAGAAGAACATGGATGACTCACCAGTACAGCATATTAAAAATGGTACGGGGTTTATCCTGCATAGCTGCCTGTTGCTGCTCCCTGGCTGTCTCTCACCGTCTGCTTTGATTCTCTATGCCTCTAATGAAAACATGCTGACAGCTAATACCCATTTCAATTTTAAACCACACTTTACCTTTGCATTAGAGCAATAAATACAAGTGACACAGGACGATCAACATGTTGCCCCTCCGTCGATGCACAAACAGAAAATAGGTCGGCCTTGGCCCCATACATCATTTTAGTGCCCAGAGTGTCTCAAGTCAAACAGCTAATCATTAACCATTTAATTTGGAGGCCTGTCCCCGGCTGACCCCTCTCAGTATTGTCATTTCAGCCACTCGAGAGGGGTCAAGGTAAGCCTTCATTCTGAGCCTGACACAATCAGGGTCGCAGGTTGTTTTTTTTTCCTGCCTTCACGTTAACTGTGCACAGATAGAGAAGTGCTAACACACTATCCAGAACAATGAGACAAATCCCTGGATGGATGAGGTGTTTGAGATATTTTTGTGCTTACTCTGTTTAATATAAGATTTTCAGACAGTTAACAGAATGCCAATTTTACTTATACGGTCGGTAAACTTCATGAGACACTGAGGATCTGGACCCACAAATTACTGCAAGGATGAGAAGACTGTGTGGAAGTCTGCTCTGCTTTCCTTCCTCCTGTCTGACTGACGATGTGTAGTACAGACACTTGGCAATTTGTTCATGCAAGTGTAATGTCAGTATTTTTGCATGGATGCTCCCAGTGTCCTTTGTAACACATGAATGAAATGGGGAAAAATGTGTCTGAAAGGTTAAAACCAAATCTTGGTGTGTTAATATATTACATTCATAAAAATCTGAGGTGACAGTCCATTTATCCTAGAATGAACAATGGGAATCTCATCATCTCTAGCGAAGTTATAGTATATTTTTTTTTAAATCATGCAAATACTTGATTTTTCAGATTTAAACAAATGGTACCAAGAGTATTAGTGGAAAACTGTTTCTTTATCAAGTGGAACAACAACAACGAAAGCAGGATAAAATTATTTCATATTAAACTGTAGCTGTTTTTTTTCCAACTTATTATGTTTTTAAATTTGACAAATACTAACAAGGCTTCTGTTTTTCCATATTTTCAAGCGATCGGGGCTTTTTGGGTTTTATTGCACATAAGCAGATTCCGCACTAATGAGCAGGGCTTTGCTTAACGAATGGAACAGCAGCCCTCATTATTATAGCCGATCATTCTACTTCCAAAAAGAGCACATTAGATAGATGTCATGCACTTTCATCACAGAATAAGGAATTTAAGTATCTCAGGAGTTCTGAGAAAGGAGACATGTTCTACCTGACACTACAACTGGAGAATCAGGCTAGACGATGAATACATTTAGGTCATCAGTTGCTGGAAGTAGCACAAGTTATTTAAATTTATCTCCTTCACAAATTAACGCCCTAAAATGACCTACACAATAGGAATTTCCACAGCCAAAGGACAAACGTGCCAACCTCTCATGACTACACATAAGGAAACACAAGAAAAGGCTTTCACCTAATACCAAACAGCAGAATCTGGCCATATGCATTCTGCAATCTAAAGCACATCTCAGCGCATCATTTTGAATTCAGACATGAAGACAAGCTGCGCCAGCCCCCTCGAGTCACACAGAGTAAACTATCATTTAACGGTCTGAACCTTCCTGTTGAACGAGGGGGTGCGGAGTCTGCAATGACAGATACAGAGAGCCTGTCAGCTCCTGAATTGCAGGCCAATTGCGGAAGCCTCTTAGCCTGCGGTCAATCGGATCAATAGGCTGGAACCCAAATATTTGACTCTACTAAAATAGCAATCAACAAGGAATAATTGTGACAGGGAATAATTGGAGGACACTGTCGATAGTAATGATGCAAAGTGGCCATGCCCATTTGACAAGTCTAATTATGCAGAGGAAGCAGAGGATCCTAAAGAAATGCTGCTGCGACCAGGACGATCTGAAATTATTGATGCTACAGTGCGACTTTACTTTTTCTAATGTTACAAACAGAAGTGACACCTGCCCACCTCCCACTATCCTTCAGCTTTCTACCTTATACAGCTTTTAAATAAAAACTGATTTGGGTGCCCAAAAGAAAGCAAACTCGAAACCTAAATTCAACATCTGGGGACACTTTGGACAACAACACCATGACCCTGAGCTGTGATATTCAATGCTAAGAAAATGTCATAAAAGAATGAAAATTTGGGTATAACAGCACTCCAGTGATTTAATGTTATTCTTACACACTGCTGGAGGACCCATGGGAGACAGATTAAAAAACAAGAATGATCACAACTGATGCAGAAGAGACACAGATGTCCCGGCCCTTCAAGCAAGACCATGAAAAATAAGTAGAGCAGCAGCACTTCCCCTGACTTGACTGCTAGATCTGCATAGCTAAAACACGAGTCCTTCGCTTCCCATAATGCACTTTTCAATGGGCTCTCCCTCTCGTCTAGTAAAGGCTGAAGACTTTCACATAAAACGACTCACCGGTGTTACTTCCTCAAATCTTAATTTAAGAGCCTCAAAGAACACTACATGTCTTTTTTCACAATCTGAAATGTTTCCCATGATGTTTTTAAAAAATTAGAAAAACAGAGAGTGAATCAAACCTTAGACTAAACTGGTACTTATTTCATCGTGTTTAACAGCAGAACAAATATTCAGCACACTTTGAGGAAATGAAACCAACTGCACGTCAGCAGAGCCTCAGGTATTGGTGAGCTCTCATTCAAACACACAGGATTCCTCACCACTATGGAATCAGGGTTTGTTTGTTAACTACAGCGAACTAACAAAACTAAAAGAACACAAGTAAAAATCATCCAAACTATATTAGTTTTGATCTGTTCCATCAGTGATGAATGCCCTTCAGGGTTCACTTGTTATTTCATTACACTGCAACAGTCAAACAGACAAATGTAACATCTAAATAAGCGTTTGCTCGTGCTCATTGTCACAGTTTCAAAAAGCACATTGTACAATGAGCATTAATAAGTCTTTTCAAGCTCAGCATTGGTATTTTAATTACCAAAATCAATCTTAATCACAGTCCAATGAATTGAGAGTCCTTAGGAGATATCCAGCCTTATGTGGCAGTGCTGTATTAATTCTAACTTAATCCAAACAGGCCAGGCCTCTAAGTCTTCGATTTTGAAAACTAGCAAAAGTAGAGTGGTACATTCATGCACGGCTGTAACACAAAAGTCCAGTCAAACTTTTGGGGTGGAAAAAAAAAAAGAAAGAAAAAAGTTTGGAAACGTGGAGGATTAGCAAAGGATTGTCCTAAGAGGTTCCAGAAATGACCAACCAACTAATCAGAAATCCCCTTTCAATTGTCAAGCTCCTGTAATCTTAAATGATGGCTTAATTTCACAGGCCAGTGACGAATGAGCTGATTGCCAGTGTCAAAACTCAGTGGCTGCGGACCAACTGGGACAGCACCTGCTGCAGAGGGGAACAAACAGGGGCCTATAGGCAAACTAAGCGGTGCAGTTGCAAATAACAGACGATTTAAATGTTTCACATTTTTGGCAAAAGCAGCCTTTGCTTTGCAGGGTATTAAGTATCAAGAACTTTAAGAAATCAAGAAAACAATGATTCCCACTCACATCTCCCTGTCTTAAAGTCAGATTTGATCATCTGAAACGACTGATGTTGTAATACTGAAGTAGTTTGACAGTCACCAACTTGAAACTGCCACATGCATGTTTAGACAACTCACTCTCTCTGACAAGACACATTTCAATTCAGCACATTGTTCACAGATCACACTAAAGCTTATTGGACTGTAAAACTCCTCTGAAATTATAACAGCTAAAGAGACTATGTGGTGTACACCGTCCATATAGTCAATAAAGGAAAGGTCAAGAATTAGACAGAACTGTACTGATTCTTGAATGAGAGTTATTCTGTGCTGTTTTATTGCGTTTCTAGCATTCTATTCAGTTAGGGAAATATATTCGCTTGCTTTGAGACAATGCATACAGGGGACTGTTGCTGCTGCAGTGAATATGCGGTGCCGTTTTAATCTGGGATCAAACTGAAAATCCCCTCCCATAAGAGTTCAGTCAAGGTCACACTGGCGATTAGGCAGACTGTCTATAGAGAGACAAACTGAGACAGAGAGAGAAACGAGTAAAATACAAAACACAAGAGAGATCCTGGCAACCACAACTGCCCCAGTGGAGCTTTAACCTAACTGGAAATGTTTCCACAACTATTAGCATGGTGACTGGTTTGGTTGTTCACCACATGTGGGACATCGACCTGTGCAGCACCACATCAACAACCTGCTACTATGTCCAGGCAGACAGCTGGTCTGTCTGAAGCCTGCACACAGAGGCACACAGACACGCACACACAGAGACAGAGGTGAAAGGGAGAGAGAGTGGGTGTGGGGGACATATCCACAGGCCTTGAAATAGAGCAGGACTAGTCCAGGTCAGAACCAGCCTGCCTGGCCACCTGTCTGGCATATGAGTTTTCCAAGGAAGTGATGTCAAGGTATGCACAATGTGGATGACACAGCCAATGACATGCCTCCTAAACTATGTGTGCACCACATTATCATTTACCACAAGCACTGACTTCTGTGAACACATCCTGTATTTGATGCAGTTAAACAACAGCCATTATGTTGAGTGTGGTGGACACGTTACTCTACCATCTATAGGTGAAGTTTTTAATCGGTTGCAGAGTCCTTGAATATCCCCGTAAGTTTCACCGACTTTGGTTATCGCCTCTGCGCCTCTCAGTTCCATAAGGGAGCGCAGTTCTTTGAGTGTGCAGCCAAACTCTCCATCGTGGTTGGCCTCCACCATGGAGTTCTTCACCCCACTGTACGAGTTGTTTGCCATTGTCTCAGCGCCTCCCCACTCTATTGCAAAGCGTTTTTGCTTTGGCTTGACAGCAGGGGGGGGAAAAAAAAAAAAAAAAAAAGAGTTGTCCCGGAAAAGCTTAAATCCTCAAGAGTGTGAACCAAGTAGTAGTTCCCATAAACAGCTGATGGGCCCTTCACAGGCAGCTGGAGTCATACGCCAGGTAGCAGGACAAGGATATTACAAAACAGGCCATTTCCCATGGAGAGCCGAGTTCCTACTCTTTCATGGTGAATGAGGATCACCCACAGAGCCGGAGATCACCATGCATGAGATCTGTAAGAGAGAAGCAAAAGTACAAAAAGGTTATCTTTAGTGACGTCACCTAGTGTTATTTGATGTACAGCAGGGTTGAGGTTTCTCATACATTAACTGCAATCACGCAGACATCGGATGAATAATGTTTGGGCTAAATGAGCAGGAAGAATTCAGGTTTGCTCCACATGCTGCTTTATAAAACCATGGCCTGCATGAACAGCAATATCAAAAAAGACAAAAAGAAGCAACAGACATTTTGACAAACAAAAATGTGTTGAGTTTGGCAATATTTGTTTGTTTTATCATCGGTTTTCCTCAACTATGATACCAGGTCCATACTTAATGGTGGACTTGGACGTTTGAGATTATTAAAATAATTTTTTTCTTTTTTTGCGTGTGTTAACATTTTACTGCTGTGTAAGTAACATGGGGGCCCTTACATAAATCCACTTGGCTGCTGGGACAAGTGGCTAAATAATTAGCTAAACTGCCTAAGGCCATTGCGAAGAGATTATGATTAGCTGCACTTGTGTTACAATAATAATAATTTTGTCATCCAGACAAGAGTTTTGTCTGGTAATGTGCACTCTGCTTCCTGGTTGGAGTGTGTGAGCAGAATGGAGCATTAGTATTCAATAATCAATCTGCTCTGAGTTGCTCCCAGGGTTTTTTTTGCTTTTGGGAATTTAAAATTTGTATTTTCTTCCTCTACAATGTTTATCACTGAAACAAACAGTTCTTAAAGCTGAGTGACAGTTTCCTCCCCTGTTTCCTGCATTTTACGATGTTTGGTTGCGTTCATTCGCTGCTGTGTGACCGACTGAAGGATGCGTGTTAAAACTACTCAATGCACATAAGACACAAGCTTAATCACTTGCCAAAATGTGGCTGGTAACCTACTCATGGACCTTAAACAGTGGCAAGCCCAGTAAACCACAAGATTAAATTCTGTCTACACTGAGTACCAATCCGATACCAGTGCCAGAGTAAAACATATTTTAAAAGCTGTATTATTACATTATCTATTTTGAGAGTCAAAAATAACTCAAACAAATGAATCTAGAGGTACACAACAACTACTTCCTGTAAATAAAGGTTGAACATACTGACTGCATGAAATATTGCTTAATTGCTGATGCTGCTCTACTGGATATCACTTCTTCTTTGCTGCTCTAAAAACAGTACATGCCAGTTACAGTACAGCACAACTAATTTTAAAGCGAAGAAGACAAAGGAGTGACTCCAGAGTAAAGAAAATTGCAGTTTTATCTGGGTGGAATGGAGACCTGAGATATCAAATGGGTACATACAGTAGATTCAAGTAATCACCGATACCCAATAAGCCTCTGGTTTCCTTTTCTAGTACGACCAGATGTTGAGGAAAGCATTATAGCCGTGACTGCATTACGTAATGTTACATGAGCACCCTGCTATGTCAAACACATATACATACAGTAGGTTTGAGAAGAGGAGAAACTTTAATCAGAGGCAGAAAAAGAAGCCACAAGCCTCCCTGCAGTGAAACTGGGGGGGGGGGGGGGTAACGTGGTGAACAGGCACCAACTGACTGATTACCTTAGGAAAAGCCTTCTGTTTAATCTAATTAAGACTATCTGTGGCATCAGGGAGCTCCATGGTGCTCTACATGGGGGGAGTCCATTCCAATGAGTAGTTGCTGTCCATTCAAGCTTTAATCAGCCTAACACAATGAGGCTGATTCATTCACGTCGGACTGGATTTACTTGAAAGATTTAACAAGATGGGCTTGATTACTTGTCTGAAACAATTTGTGAGACACTTAACTGTACTTTGAAGTAGAAAGCTATGTCAGCATATAATCTGCATTGAGGTGAACCTGGACCAGACAGGGATGTTCTTTCATGTCTGGAAAAATGCTGCAGTTATCCCTCTGTCTGGCTGTACACGAAGATCAGAACATGCTTGAGAGAACACCATTCAGGTATCTTTACACCAAACCTAAAAAACACTGACAAAATCTAAACTAACTCTAAAAGCTGCAACTTTAAAAACGTGGACGCAGATGCCGAAGGGGAGAAAATGTAGCCTTTATCATTGCTCACTGCACAAACTAACGTTCGCAGCTTATTCCACTGAGATTCTTGGAAACTATTCTGTCACATGTTGAGATTCTATTTGGGGCCATCTGCTGTGGAAAACGGGACAGAATTTATTATTTATTACACAGCATAATTGCAGAGCCGGGTGTATTGCTGAGGTGGGAGAGTTCGTAGAAATCTCTATTTTGAGGAGGAAATACACCTTTTTTCACACACTAACCCTAACCCACAGATTTAGGGTCTTCAATGCATTAAGAAATCCATTATTTCATAAGCTTCAATATCTTGTCTGTCTTCTGAATAAGGATATGGTTCTAGACCGTATTCTATACATTTATATTATAGCATCTATGTTGTAAATTTCATCCAATGATTCATTGTTGTTATAACTTCCATTTTATGGCATTTCATTTTCAGCAGTTTTATTTTTGGCACATGCGTCAATTGTGAAGCACTTTGAACTGCACCTGTATGAAAGGTGAGTAACAAATTAAGTTTGATTTATTGATACATTTAATTATTTTTTTTATTATAAATATTAACACCACAGGTTTGATTTCCATAGAGAATATACAAAAGGAATATTCCTAAGAGGAGCACCCGGAACGATCTGATCCATGGACTTCTGGGCACGTCACACCTTGCACAGTGTGTCACTCATTGTGATGGTGAGACGTGAGAAATGAGACAATTAACTGTAGTGGAATTCCAAAACACTATTCTTCACTCATGCATTATCATGGTGTGACCCAGAGACTACGTTTCTTGAAGCACAGCTCATCCACAGACTTCAACAAGTGAATGTCATATTGCACCTTGCAAAGCATATGACTTTTTAAATGTGTGAATGAACCCGGAGGGACTTAACTTTTGCCTTGTACATGTGCTGCAGCCTATAATAATGAATGCAATTCTCTGACTTCTCCATTTCCCCGTCTTCCTCTATGAGCCCTCTCCCACGTTCACACTCCCTAACCCCACGAGCAGCAACAACGCCAAGCTGAAGGAGGTGCCAACATTTGCTGTGCTGCGACAGTTTCGGGTTGCGGAGCAGGTCACATGTCACAACAGTGGAAAATCATTGTGATTGGATCTCCAAGCCAACAGCTGGCATCCTATGGTTGAATGACAGAGGCTGAGGTTAACCCTTTGTAGGCAACCATCGCTCAGCATGAATATGTGCTGCTCTCGCCCAAGGACTGGAGACAAAAGATCATAAGTCTCTTCTTCTACCCGAGCTATTTAAGGCTGCTATCACACATTAGCTGCAGACTAAATCCTCTACCCAGAAGGGCTGAGGCGAGTGGACATAAGTCAACAGGACAACAGTGGTGGTCATCTCAGAAATATACTCAAGTCTTTGTTTCCACGCTAAGGAAACCCTCTGGCAGTTTGTACACCTCTACGTGCCAACAACTCGATGCAAGTCGAGGATAGCAATTCTAGGGATCCCTCTGCAATGGAGCTGCCTAATGCGATGGGTGGTATTTTTAGCTTCCCCTAGACTGCCCCTCCCCCCACTGCTAGCCATTGCTGAACTGGGTCAGGCCATGTAAATGTGGAGGGTACAAAGCAGAGACACCCAGCCCTCCTTGCGCTGCATGGCTCAATAGCCGAGGGCATTTCTTCCCCACCCAGACTGGAACCTCAAATGCTGTCAGGCTGCCAATTCATAAGAACGCACAGTCAGAGGTGTCGGCGTCAACACACTTCTCCTCTTCAGCTCTTCTTACTTCATGTATTAGGGACATGAGATAGTTACTCTAAGATGAAAATAAACTATATAAAATGTTCTCTTTTTGCAAT